AAACAGCCACGAGCCCACGATATAACAGCTTTGACTCATTGGGTGCGTGATATTTTCAATAAAGTGTGAGGCCAGTGATCAGTAGCCTGTGATGTGTCCGCTTTACGAATTGAAAATACATATTACCTAATATTAGCATTGATTACCGCATCGGATGAAACATGTGTGATATTTTTGTCCGGGAAATTGTTTCAAAACATTTTATTCAACTGCGAGTTCGAAACAAAGATCGTCATATATCAGCAGAAAACTAACAATGTCCAATGAGGTTAGTTCTTGTTTTTCTAAAACATTTGTAATCCACCGTTGTTTACGTTCTAAAAGTTCACGAGCGAAATGACATATTACCTATAACTAAGCGAAATGACATTTATTTATTTATTAACTTTACAACCATACATAAAATAGATTAAACCACTACATAATATGGTTGAAGGTATGGTCAACAGGACATGAATAGCCCCATGTGAAGACCAACCTTAATGAAAACAAACTATAACAAACATAAATCAAAGACGAGAACAAATATAAAATTTACAGAAAACATGACGAATTACGAACAACAGCTTAAGTTGAAAGAGCGGCACTTAGAACAGAAGGTTTTCCAAGTGCGCATTCTGTTTACATCGAAAGATGAATGAAGTAGAGAAGAGTAATGAACAGTTAGTCTGTTTTTAAAGGAGGAAACGGATGAACTATTACGAATGGTGGGAGAGAGATTATTCCAGAGAAAGACAATTCGGTTGAAAAAAGAGTTCCTAAAGAGAGAAGTCCTGCAATGATTAACATGAAGCAAGTTGTCCGAACTTGAACGGGTGTGAGACAAGCTGTTTGAAGAAAAAGTGACGAAAGAAGAGATATCTAGGTTGAAGAGACCGTGCTTACATTTAAAAAAGAAGACGAGATCCTTTAGTTCCAGCCAGTAGGATATTGGTAATAGATTAAGCTTCTTAAGGCGTTCAGGATATGGCAACTCATAATCCTGAAGGATAAATTTACTAGCTCGTCTTTGAACACCCTCGATGATCGCAAGATCACGTGACGATCCTTGAGGTGCCCAGATCTCACTACCATATGACAGATGAGATCGGACGAGAGCAAGATAAAGAAGCCTACGGCAGCGAATATCAGACATTTGCGTACAATTCCTACGAAGAAAACCAAGCATACGATTGGCTTTTGCAGTGCAGCTGGCGATGTGAGGGGACCACTTTAGGTCATTGCTGATAACAACACCCAAGTCTACTTGGTTAGCTATGCTCTTAACTGGATCGTTGTTAAGAAAGTAGCAATGAGTTGGAGGGTTACGTTTGCGAGATATCCTAAGTAGGAGCGTCTTCGAGACATTAAATTTCATTTTCCAGTTAAGTGACCAGTTGGACATAGCGCCCAGGTCGAGCTGAATGAGACCACGATCAACTGGTGATCGTATAGCACGATAACACTTGCTGTTTTTGCTGATCAAAAAGTGCAACGGTACTATTATTGGTTACCTCGGGAAGGTCATTTACATAAAGAATGAATAAAAGTGGACCTATTACACTACCTTGTGGCACCCCAGAGGTAACATTAAGAAAAGATGAGGAAGCTCCTTCAACGACAACACACTGTTTGCGATCACGAAGGTAATCAGCAAACCAGTTAAGAAGTGGACCTGAGATTCCAAACGATTTAAGTTTGAACAAAAGTTTGCTATGGGACACCGAGTCAAACGCTTTAGCAAAGTCGAGATAAATCAGGTCTGTTTCCTTTCCAGAGTCAAGAGTACGACCAAGGTCGTGAAGTACACTCAAAAGTTGAGTAACACACGACCTTTTACAACGAAAGCCGTGTTGAAGGTCGTACAAGGAGTTTTCAACAAAAGAAGAAACCTGCCTGAAAATTAAACGTTCGAGAACTTTTGAGACTTGAGAGAGTAAGGAAACTGGTCTGTAGTTAGTGACCTCATGAGTGTCACCCTTTTTGGGTATAGGCACGACATTAGCAGCTTTCCATTCAGAAGGAAAAACACCCTGCTGAAGAGATAACTCAAAGAGAGCAGGCAAAGAAGGGGCAATTACCTCAGAACATCGCTTTAGAAGGTAAGCTGGAATACCATCTGGACCAGTAGCCTTAGAGGGTGACAAATTGGACAACAAAGACTGAACATCGGATTCAGATACATTTAATGAGTCAAGAGAGTTAGAAGCTGAACTAGAGGGAGTGTAAAGAGGTGAAGAACTTGTGTCGGAGGTGAAGACTGACGTAAAAAATTGGTTAAAGCCATCCGCTTTTTCCTTTGCAGAAAAAAGTTTCTGACCTTCCAACTTCATCACGTCAGGGATCGAAGATTTCGAGGATTTACATTTAAAGAATCTCCAGAATAATTTAGGGTTATATACATGTTCGGACAGTCCAGAGAGATATTCTCTCTTCTTGGAATTTATCCAACACTTGACGTGTTGCCGAGTTTTACGGAATTTCTTCCAAAGTTCAGGCGAGTTCTTAGCCTTTGCCTTTCTTCTTAGTGACTCTTTCATCTTAATAGCGTGAAGTAAGTTCTTGGTGATGTATGGGGGTGTAAAAGAACGCTTGAGCTTTGTTTTGGGGATGAAATGGTCAACAGCGGCAAGGAAAGCTTCCTTCCACTTAGCCCAGGCAAGATTAACGTTGTTACTTTCGTTGAGGACTATATCAACTAGTGGAGTGTTCCTTAGACTGTTAAATAGGCCTACGAAATCACCCTTAGCATAATTATAGACCACACGTTCGGAGGATTGTTTAGGTTGTTGATGGAGTTTTAGGTCGAAAAATATAGCCTTGTGATCAGAGGGTAGAGAGATGGAGTCGTCATCAGTAACTTCAAAGTTGTCGGTCAAGTGTTCATTTGTAGTTAAAACCAGGTCGATGAGGTTGCTACCGCGGGTAGGTGAGTTAATCAATTGCAGATAACTAAACTCAGTGATGCTGTCAATGAAACTAGTTTCTGAAGCTGAAGTAGAGAAACCTGAACCGTTAGACCATTGGATATTAGGGTAGTTGAAGTCGCCAATTAGAACAACATCTTTGAATTGCGATTCTTGGACAAATTTTAAAAAGCGGGTTAGTTCATTTAGGAAAACATTAGTGGAGTCAGGTGGACGGTAACAGACAGCAACAAGTACTTTACAAGACGGGGAGATAATAACCAGAGATACAAGTGCCAACGAGTCAGAAACGAAGCCAGAAGGTTCAGACATATTACCGTACCTTGCAACGTACGCCAACGTAACGTATAAACAAACACGTTTTAGATCGCGTTCTAACCTTAATTGACGGATTTTCCCGCGGAGTTAACACATTGATCGTCTTTGTCCTTCTGAGTAACTTCAATCAGCGCTTGAAATTTGAAAAAGCTTGATATGGCGTTTAAATATACAAACGTAAACGTGATATCGATAATACCGAAAAATATCGATATTCCGATATATTGAAAATTCCAATATCGAGTAATCGGTATTTTGATAAAAAAAAGATAATTATCGGTTTATCGATATACCGCAACAGCCTAAATTTGGAGGTCACCGATGTCTTTTACAAGTTAAATTACTGTAATTAAATTCAACCACCCACAAGTTCACCCAGCATTTTTGCCAATGTGGTCATAGTTAATAGAGATGTGGCATATAGCTAAAAAGATTGGTGCAAAATTTTGGCAGTTCATGTATAGTTCGGTTTTAATTTTTTTTTGCGATTTACTAACGCACGACGCACGACCCACGACGCACGACCCACGACGCACGACCCACGACGCACGACCCACCCACCCACGCCAAATAGACAATCTCGTGATTTCATGGTCAAGAGTCATGATGATTTGATTTTTATTAGAAGACATGCAGATGCACAGAATTACATCACATGTGACAAGGTAGCCTCGCCTCGGGGGCTTGTGAGCCACTTTTTTGTTCTTCACATTATGACGTCATACTGTGTACATATCTAATATTGCATGTCTATAACTGAGACAACGGCAAAATCTTATCTAGCCTGCGAACAGGCCCTGGGTTGCGGGCGGCGCGAAGAATAGAGGGCCTGCACGGATGATAGGTTTTCTTGGTAGTGGCGTTCGTATAGAAACGCAGGCTTCTGATTGGCTTACACTCCTTGACAAAATTACTAAAAATAGCAAATGTCAACAACAGCATTTTGAAGAATTTGAACTTTATTCATTTTAATATTTTAATATATATTATAGGACTATCGAACAAATAAAACTAGAAATGGAAACCAAAAGCAATAGCAAAGCATCACAGCAAAAAAGTCTATCATAAATGACTTGAATCTATCGCTTAAATCCAATATACGAAACTATAACAGTATTCTGAACTTCGTCTTCGGATTGACATCAGACCATAGTATAGTACATTTTGAGGTCGTCGTGGCTTCACGGATTATTCTCATTAGTGAGCAAGTCAGCAAGCGAAGGCATACAAAAGATACCCAAATATGTACGAATAATTTATATATTGTCGATCCTCGCTGGCATGTCATTTAGATAAATATATATCGTACATTAAACGTTGTACTGTTTACTGTATATTAACTGCTGACAATTTCGTCGTCGATACGGCTTCCACTATTGGCACACTTGTGATTTCGAAGAAATTAATAAATACATGCTCATTTATCATTTATTTAGACCACAGTTAGTAAAATTTTAAACGTATTCGGTATTCCAAATCCCAATCTATCTGACCGTATTTTAGTAATAGCTTCAAAATATTCAGAACATTGTTCTTTCAGTCGCACATAGTACAAGTATTACTGTACATTCAAAGCCAATGGTAGTTTATTCGGCTTTATATTTGTATGTGTATTGATATCTATTTAATATTTGAAGAATTCTATATTTTTCCGAGTAATATATTGTGCGGCCCGCTAATGCTTTGTATTATTATCGTTCATGTTGCACAATGTTGAATGTACACGCCTTGCGTCAATTTGACAGTTGACAGTTTATTTATCGCAGTCGACGCTGATTGGTTAGCGTTTAGCAGATGCGAAAAGGGGATGAATGAATAAAACGCATGGTTCCGTGCAGGCTCACCTTTCTCCCAGTGAGCCTGTTCGCAGGCTAAATCTTATCTATTTGTCAGACAACTGCATATGGCAGGAATCGATCCTAGATCACAGGGGTGCCTAACCTAATGAGCTACACGGTTAAAAACGCACAGGTTGTTCCAAGTTGATATAGACAGGCGTGAACAATGTTGTGCGGCCAACTATGAACAAGTTGTCAACCATGTTGTTCCAAGTTGTTACAGTTGAACAATGCTGTAACAACATGTTGACAATACTGTTCATAGTGGGCCGCACAACATTGTTCACGCCTGTTGATATCAACCTGGAACAAGTTGTTGATTTTCTCAATTTTTACGCATGTAGCCACACAATGACACATGCAAGAACCACTACACCAGCAACACAGAAATTATAATCACCTTGTTTTTTTAACCATTTCTTCATGTAGGTTTTTCTTTACATTTACTTTGGATTTTGGACTTTGTTTATTTATGCAGAGCAACTTCAGAAGTAATTCTGCAAACAAAACACAAAATGAAGTCAATCTCGGCACCAAAAACGAACAAGGACTTGTTGCAATAAGTTATTCATCTGCCTAACACATCATACCTAGTATGGAGTGGTCAAAGTCCACACTCAATTGATCCCTTGTTATCATGTAAAACACACAGGACGAGCAAAGAGCCAGTGTCTAAAACAATGTACAAAGAAAAATCCATGAGGCAGGGAAAAAGGATGCAGGCGGGGACGAGAAACTACTAATTTTTTTTACTTGGCGTTAGCAAGAGTAAAATAATCCGACATTAAACAGGATAAAGGCTGCGTTTTGCTAGCCAAATTTCTGCAATTTAAATTTATCTCACCCCCTGGAGTGGCAATATTTCACGACAGGTCTTCAAAACACTTGCTACAAAAGTTATAAGAATCTGCGTCACATTCCTACCTTATTTGCTGGAGCATCTTGCAGACAATCAAATATTTTTGCTATAAAACCATGAGCTCGAAGATTCGCTCGAAATGACGAGGTGGAACATTGTGATGCAAGATCAAGAGCGCTTGAACAACGTGCTGCCAATGACAGATCTTGTCTTAGGCCATCGAGAGCAAATTCAACATCATCGAAGAACTAGAGGATATTGAAAAACATAAGTCTTGGCAGTTCAATGAATAAAAATGGCTGGCTAAAATTTATTTCCCTTACCAAAAAATTTTAGACTGGCAGGCCATATTTTTTCACTACTTTGAGCCCTGACTGACATGAATGACACATGCACTAAGGCCTAAAAAAATCCCGGTGGTTCTGGTTTAATCCCAACCGACCCTATCTTTTTCTGCCGACCCTATACATGCCAAAATGGCATCTGTTGTCACAATAATTATTTGTGTTGCCTAAATTCGTCTGTAGGAACTACGCATCTCTAGTTAATATTGATGTTGGGACTCTACTGAAAATTGCCCAGCAAAAAACCGCCAAAGCCATAAAAATATTCAAAAAAAAAAATATTTCCGACCTACCTACCCCTAATTTTTTTGCAATAAAAACCGGAACCACAGGTATTTTTTAGGCCTAACCATGCTACTAACAATCAATTGCTACCTGTTGTGTTTCTCCATCTTCCAAACAAGCATGTTTGTGTTTGACGTTTCGAACAACAGTAAACAACTACATAACAAATAACATAATATTTGTAATGACTTGAAGGATTCAAACAGTGTGAGTCTAATAGTTTAATAATATTGACTGGCCAGATCAAAACTTATCAAATACTATTAGCCACAACTACTATTATAAAAAAGTAGTAAAAAACTACTCGTTACTTGTAAATTGTAATTCGTTAATGTACTTTGCTACAACCCACGTACCTAGATGAATGTATGTTCTTAGATGCGAACAGTAACTTGACATATGTATGTATAGGCTGTACCTGTTTTTCCTCACGATTAACTCGAACTCTTGACGAGGATGCCTCGGTTGGCAATGAGGATGCTCTTGGTAACTGCGGGACATCTTCGGAATCATCTTCAGACATTGTATCATCACTTTGTGCAGTGTTTGTAGGCTAGGGAGAAACATGAAAGGGAACAGTTTGTTTAAAAACCTCATATTTGTCATATGTGGACATCACAGGGTTCGTACACCTTTTTCCATTTAAAATTCCATGACTTTTCCATGACTTCCCATGACCATTTTTTTCAAAATCCATGACCTGGAAGTCTGGAATTTCTGAAATTCGTTAATATTTTAACAATAACAGATATAATAATGAACAAAATTCACTTTGCTCTTGCAAAAATCCGTTAGGCGTTATATAACAACAATTCATATTATTGTTATGACTGGTAAATTGAAATACAGTAAGTAAAATACTTTGTTAATGTTATGTAAAATTTCAATTTTCCATGACTTTCCATGACTAAAATTGATTTTCCAGGATTTCCAGGCCTGGATTTTGGAATATTGAAATTCCATGACTTTCCAGGTTTTCCAGGACCCGTACGAACCCTGACATCGTAACATAATTGCAACCCAATGTGCACTCATTGTTTTGAGATCATGATTCAGTTGTCAACTTGTTTCAAGTCTTTTTCATTGTTTTGAAAATCCCACTGTTCTCCATACGTCATTCAGTGACTTGATCATTGTTTTGACTTATTCATATGTCTGTAGTTAGCAAAATCCATTCAGACGCTATGACAATATCCTAATACCGTAATATATGTTACAACTCACCAAAGCTGAAAATCTACGATCAAGTCTTTTCTTCTTTTTTGGAGATAAAGATGCGACATTGTTTTTCAAGAAGTGTTTGAATGGCGACTACATCAAAACAAAATTGACACAATTTAACCCATTGAGTGACAGCACTCTCTTTGATGAGTAAAATCATCTGGCATTAGACAGAGTAAAATCATCTGGCATTAGACAGAGTAAAATGATCTAGCATTAGACACTAGAGTAAAATCGTCTGGTGTTAGACAGAGTAAAATCGTCTGGCATTAGACAGAGTAAACTCATCTGACATTAGACCAGGGATCTTTTCAAGCACTTTTCTACTACCGATATATGGTAGACTAGTAAATACTCAATCTTCAATTGAGTTTTGAAACTCAATATTCCCCCACAATGATTTTTTTTCACAATTTAATTTTTTTAATGTAAATGTTCCATTAAAAACCTGTTTTCTATACAATTTTGTTCAAAAAGCTGTCGAAAACTGTTTCACTTCTGAGACACAAAATCTTGTAGAGGAACTAGAAATGTGTACCACAAACGCGGCTGGGGGGGGGGGGGGTGTGACACCCTGATAATTTTGAGAAATAGTCAAAAAAGTCTGTCCCAAATGAACCATTTGTCGGTCCCGATAATCTGGTGCAAACATTACGCAAAATTATTGTTTCCGTGAGATTTCTTTTTGGACAGTGTCCAAAAAATAATAAGTAAGGTTACAGAATTGCTAATTGCCATAAAGATTATACACTGCCTGAATCAACTTCCTTTCTGTGCTCTACAGCCAGCTGATGGCCAAACTAAAGTCTGAAAATGCCATTTCCGATGATCTAGAGACTTCAAAGTTTAAAAAATTTTCCGCTTGGCACCAACCACGGTGCATGTGGCACCTTGAGGAACTCCCCTTTCCAACATGTAAACACGTAAAAGTGGTTTATATTAAAAATTTTTGACGTCCTCCCCCCCCCCCCAAAAAAAATAAACTCAATCTTCTTCTAAAAAATGGTAGTAGACTAAAGTGCTTGAAAATATCCCTGATTAGACAGAGTAAAATCATCTGGCGTTAGACAGAGTAAAATGATAAAGTAGGGCGCATCAGGGTTATTTGCAACTCAATGGGTTAATGACTTAAAAATTATGCAAGATCACATTGAAATGCCATTGGAATTATTTGGGAAAAATGGTTTTAGAACTTTTTACAACCTTCATGTCAATTTCTGCCATCTTGGCCTACTTTCTCATATGTCAAATGACTGAGGTTCTTGCTCCAGATATATCAAGCTCAGTGGTCAAACCATATTATTAAATTAAATAGCAAGTGTTAAAGTTCAATTTTCCTGTTTGCAATTGGACAAACCATACCACTAGGGGTGCACTGGATTTCAAATCCGGCTGGAATTCCGGCCGGATTTAACAAATTTTCCGGCATCCGACCGGATTTGGAGAAAATCCAGCCGAATTTAAATTTCTGTTTTCACCTTAAAAAATTCACCAAGAATGGGATAAACCATCAATTTGGCAGCTTTAAAGTTTAAAAAACACTTCTATTATTATAAAATATTAAGTTATTAATTAACAAAAAGATATTTAAAACACAATCAAAAAACTAAACTGACATTAACTAAAAATAGTAAAAAACATAAACTGCCATTTTGAATACTGAATTATCACAATTTATCCCATTACCGGTTTATCTCAAATCCGGCAAATCCAGCCGGAATGTTTGTCCAAATCTGGTAAATCCGGTTCCGGATTTACCGTGCACCCCAACATATCACGGTCCACCAAACGTCATGTTCATTGCATGCTTTGGCGAGGGGGCAACTGGTCAACAACAATTATTGACTGGTCAATAATAAAACCTGAAGTGAGGAACAAGCAGCTTGTGCCAACCAGCAAGTGGAAAGCAAAGTTTTTTCAAGAGTTCCCGCATGTTTCACTTTGACACTTGCTATATAATAAAACACTTATTTACTGAGACCTCTGAAAAACAGCGTCTTTTATGGCCCCTCGACCACTGTTGTTCGGTGGTCTCAGGGCCACAAAACACGCTGTTTCCCTCTATCTCGGTAAATAAGTGATAAATGTAACATACCTGTTTCCGTGTTGGTCTATCGTCCTCTACTGCACAATCCGTCTCCCTCGCTACATTAGGCTCCTGTGAACTTCCGTACGCATCATCCGTACTTTTATCGTCAAACTTCACTGTCTTCTCAACCCCTTTTGAAGGTGAATTCTTCAGTGGCGATTTTAAATTACTTTTCAAAGGTGATTTATTTTTAAATGGTGAATTTATGTTTTTAAAAGGTGAACCTTTTTTTATAGAAGAGTCTGAAGAGTTTTGTTTCGTCGGAGATTTACTTTTACACGACGACTTAGGTCTCTTTAATGTTCTATCTTTACCCGAACTACAATGCGACTCTGAATCACTTTCAGTGAACCCAAACAGTTCATCTTCCAATAACGGGTTTAATTTCCGCTTTTTGCTAGCGTCCAAAGGTTTATTACCCCTTTTAATCTTCAGTTCAGACTTCTTTGTCCTTTCCAAGTTGTTTTTACTACGATTTCCAGTATTTTCATCGTCATTTTTCGCCGCTAAAGCACGGTCGAATTCGGTTTGAGCACTGATATTACCCGATTGTTTTCGACTTTTGTAAGTAACCATTCCATATTTCGGCATTTTTATCCAATAAATAACAATGTCCAATATCAAAAGAACTCACTTTCATTCCAATGTTGATGAAAAAAGTGTACAATTTGTTAAAATCTCAAATTTCAAAATAAATATAATCTTCAAACACTTTCAAAAAAGGACGCCATTTTGGTTTCAATTTCAAAGCATTGCGCATGACTGAATCTCGTTTCCAGAGCATGCCTGTTCGCGGGTTATGTAGAAACGAAAAACCCAGAATCAAACAACCCCCGAATCTTTTAAACTCAGAATCAAAGAACCCCCGAATCTTTTAAACTCAGAATCAAAGAACCCCCGAATCTTTTAAACTCAGAATCAAAGAACCCCCGAATCTTTAAACTCAGAATCGAAGAACCCCCGAATCTTTAAACTCAGAATCAAAGAACCCCCGAATCTTTAAACTCGGAATCGAAGAACCCCCGAATCTTTTCAACTCAGATTCGAACAACCCCGAATCTTTTCAACTCAGAATCAAAGAACCCCCGAATCTTTAAACTCAGAATCGAAGAACCCCCGAATCTTTTCAACTCAGAATCGAACAACCCCCGAATCTTTAAACTCAAAATCGAAGAACCCCCGAATCTTTAAACTCAAAATCGAAGAACCCCCGAATCTTTAAACTCAGAATCGAAAAACCCCCGAATCTTTTAAACCCAGAATCAAAGAACCCCCGAATCTTTAAACTCAGAATCAAAGAACCCCCGAATGTTTTCAACTCAGAATCGAACAACCCCCAAATCTTTAAACTCAGAATCGAAGAACCCCCGAATCTTTTCAACTCAGAATCGAAGAACCCCCGAATCTTTTCAACTCAGAATCGAAGAACCCCCGAATCTTTAAACTCAGAATCGAAGAACCCCCGAATCTTTTCAACTCAGAATCAAAGAACCCCCGAATCTTTAAACTCAGATTCGAAGAACCCCCGAATCTTTTCAACTCAGAATCGAAGAACCCCCGAATCTTTAAACTCAGAATCGAAGAACCCCCGAATCTTTAAACTCAGAATCGAAGAACCCCTGAATCTTTAAACTCAGAATCGAAGAACCCCCGAATCTTTAAACTCAGAATCGGAGAACCCCCAAATCTTTAAACTCAGAATCAAAGAACCCCTGAATCTTTTAAACCCAGAATCAAAAAATGCCTGAATCTTTAAACTCAGAATAAAAAAACCCCCAAATCTTTAAAACCCAGAATCGAAGAACCCCGGAATTTTTTAAACTCAGAATCAAAGAACCCCTGAATCTTTAAATTAAACTCGGAATTGAAAGAATAATGAATATATAATTCACAATATTGACATGATTTATTTACTATTTAATTTTACACATCAGAATATACCCTCACAACACCCTAGCGCTACTATTTTCAATATGGCAAATTTCAACACTTGATACATTTATGTACATTTACAGTGGCGGAAATCTTGGTGGGGCAGGGGGGGTGGGGTGGCTCCCCCCCCCACCTTCACAGAAAATTGACAAATTTTCGGAAATTTTGACCTAAAAGAGGGTTAAAAACAGTCTTTTCGAGTGCAAATGGGGGGG